AGCAACTAGTTACATATAGCTAAATTACGTAATTTAATTACAAAATAAATGTAATTGTAATCAGTTACAGTTACTTATGAAAATGTTAACGATTACAGAGGGGGGTTACATCTGAATATTTTCTCACACACACACACACACACACACACAGATTTAATTGATATCTTTCATAAATTGCATAGACTGCTCTAAAATATGAGACACCGTTGTTTCAGGAGTTTAGGACACATGCTTATTCGATAACTGTTTTATTTCCTATTTGGATGATGTATATTTATTTTTAAGTTTAACTGTTTTTCCAAGCCTTTCTTAGATGCCAGTGTTTCCTGTCATAGCTGTGCAAAGACTTGATTTCAAAAACAGTATCCTATTAAACTATCTTGTTATGGTTTTAAATGTGTATTTAATCTCAAAACAATCTCAAAGTAAGTCTGATTTTGCGGTGGTTGTGCTTTAAAATGAAATTATGATTTAATTAAATTATTATTAAATTATTATTTAATTAAGGTTTTTGAAAGTCTGACCGTAATTAGTTGATGAGTCCTACTGTGATGTTAACCCTGGCTGGTTTACATGTTTCAAAAGATTAACAGTTGAAAACATTACATATTTAGAAAAGTAATAAAAAATGTAATCAAACGTAATGAATCACATTACTTTTTAAAGTAACTGAAATAGTTACACTACTTATTAGATTTTAAATAGGGTAACTTGTAATAACCTATCACATTTCCATAGTAACCTCCCCAACACTGTGCGTAAAATAATTCCATCAGGGGTCTCAGCTACAGCTAAATGTTAAAACAAACTTAAAGGGGTCATATGATGCGATTTCAAGTTTTCCTTTCTCTTTGGAGTGTTACAAGCTGATTGTGCATAGATAGGTAATTCTGACTTTGCTATGACAATCTGGCGCTTCTGAATCAGCTACTGTTTTGTTATTAGTTTAAGTATTTGCTATTGACTGTTCAAATGCGGAGTTTTGCGCATCGTGTGCATATCTTTGGTTTTCACAAGATTATGTTAGAAATATAAACTGTTTTTGTGCTGTATGATAACTACGTCCACCATGTTGTGTTGAATACATTTGTTGTGCCTTTCAATCTGTCAAATCAAGCAACATGTAGTTTTGTCTCATTTCTGTTTTCAAACAGCACAAGCTCCATTGCACCTATAGTGGTATTGCCTAAGGAAGTGTCTCAAACTGTAGGGTAAAGGCAAGGTGTCAATGCCCTGATACGTTGTACAGCTACAGATGACCGCTCTGCACATGTGCTGCAGAGAGAAAGGAAAGCTCCTAGCTAGTGGGCGAGAGAGAAGAGGTTCAAAAAATAGGCATGTGGCCGGGTCACTGTAGTGCTTCAACAGGCCCGTGACACTGGAATCTCTGTACATACAAGGGTCACGGCCATCAAAGCTAAAGCGCTTCCCGTTTTGCTCTATTCGAGCATGGAGGGAGCGGTTATAGCGTCTGAAGCTAACCGAGAAGAGGTATTCGTCCTGGGCAGAGTCTCGGAGCAGAAAGGTCCCCTCTGGTTGCCCTTCCAATAGTTGCTCAGCTTCAAAACGATCCAGGACACCCCAATAACAAGGGCTGTTGTTGATTTGAAGCAGATCAGGAACCAGGATGTAGTCAGTGTGGGCGCAGCACTGGGCGTCTCCATGTGCAAAAGAAGGATCCCAGTCATCCAGACTAGAAGCCCCAGTAGAGCGGATCTCCTCCCATGAAATGAGCGTTGGAGGAGAGGAGGATAACAAGGGACATTTGGGTTCGGTTTCAATGCTTAAAGAAGGTTTGGTATGAGTGCCATGTTTCTTGATCAGATGCCAACACTGAGCCAGTTCGGATTTCGGAGAGAATGGACACTTGTCCTCCATGAGCTCGGACACATGAATCTTCCGTTTGGACCAAAGAAGGACGGAGAATGGACGTGAGGAACTGGACTGGTGGTGATGGTGGTGGTGATTGCGAAGAGGGAGACACTGGCCGACGGCATCCTGAAACTTCTGCCTCAGAGACCGGCGGGACAGGGCTTTCCTGCAAGGAGAGTCCAAATCCGGTTCTCCAGGGATTGTGCAGCTGCACTTTCGCTCTCGACGTCTCCGGGGACAAGAAGCAGAGCGTACAGTCTGGTCGTCTATTCCTTCCACCTCTTCCCCTCTGGGCGCTGTCTCATGGCATGACCCACGGGAGCGTTTTTTAATACTGCGGATGTAACTATCAGCGCTCCAGCTCCGCAAGTTCTTGGGACGTGTGTCTGAGTTTTTGGGCTTCCTCTCTGACATTGCTACAGGCCCTTTTTGGAAAAGTGCTGCACAGAATTTAAAAATAAATTAAGATTGGCAAAGAAAAATATGAAGAATACTAATAGTATTAATGCTACTAGTACAAGGCATACAATATTACAAAATTAATGAATTCAGCATATATTTATGCACAGACGATTCATAACTGACTACAGTACCAAATACAATTTTTATGGTGATTTTTTTAAGGAAATAAACAGGATTCTATTCATATGTTTTATTTGAAAGGAACACATTATTTATATCATACTTCAAATAAAAAATATAACTAGTATGCACATAACAACTATATACAAGTAACAGACAAAAAACTTTAACCTTTTAAGTATCTTTTATATGAAAGAAATCCAAATGTATCCTACCTTCAGAATGAAATGCTGTAGGAAAATCTGCTGTCCTCACAGAGGAGTGATGAATTTTTCCATGCCTGAAGTTCGTGCAGTGAGAGCTCGGCATGAACTGAAGGGAGGAAGCGCATCCCTCCTATTTAAAACCTCTCAAGTATCAATTCCTCAGAGGAATACTTGCCCTTCACTGGACGGAAGGGGTACTTTTGTCAATGACAGTTATCATATCTAATGATGAATACGCTGTCCTGAAGAAATGACATTGAGAATTTTAAATGAGTATAGGATGTATAATCTATATCAGTATTAGGCTATCATATCTATTATAGCTGTTATATTATTATAGGCTGTTTTAATTGCAAAAAATAAATAAAATTGAAAAAGTGCAAAAATGTGTCCATCTCTTAAATAAGCCACAAACCCACAACATTAAAATCTTTTAAAATGTATTAGCTCTTACCGTGAACTTTGACTGACCATCAATGAATCAATGAGCTAAATGTAATTAGTCAATAATAACGGACATCTATTTACAAGGACAACCTTGTTAGGAAGGAAATGGGAAATCTCCGAACAGACACTGAGAGCTCTACTTCATGGATCTATTGATTGATATGTGCCCTGCTTAATTTGGGAACATCCGGCAAACATTTGCCATCACAAAGGCAATTTTTGACACCCATTTCAGACGGTGGTCAGGGGTCCATTCCTAGTATCCACCCAGAAAGTATCAAATATCAAGAGTAATATCATAGGGATGCAGTTCCGGCCTGCTAAATGGATTACAAAATAAATTCAATTCTTTATGGCTGTGAAGTCATTAGGTGATGTCATTCTGAAATGTTAAAATATTTTACTCTCATTTATTTAATATCACAGGCACACTACTGTATAGCTATGAATTATTCAGCAGGACACTGTGCATCTTCTTTTTTTACATTTTCATTGTAATCAGTCTCTCTCTTATGTGTGTGAGGCCAGCAGGATGGCATCCAAGAAATTGAGTGATGAATTCTCTTGCGATCTGTTAAAAGTGGTTGATCAGATCAATGTGTAGAGGCACAAATGATTCAGTTGTTCCACTCAACCCCCTCTCATGTCTTACAGATGTAAGAACAATGAAGAACTGTTATGTATTCAGTCCTTTCTCTTATAAATTATGCTATTTTCCCTTTATGTTGTAGAACTTAACAGATCTTAAAGGGATAGTTAACAATTTTTTTTGTCATAATTTACCCACCCTTGTGTTATTCCAAAACTGTAAGAATTTATTTCTTCTGTTTAACACAAATCAAGATATTTTGAAGAATGTTGTTAACCAATCAGTTGCTGGCATTGACTTCCATAGCATTTTTTGTTTCCAAGTGAATGGCTACCAACTTGGCTACTTCTTTCCACACTTGCTGCATGAAACACAAAAATCAACTAAATTATCATTTTAAGTAAAGCAATAAACATATCCCAACATTACAATATTATAAGTTATAAAACCTGACTACAAAATATTAAATTACCAGTGACAACAGTGTAAATTAACTGCCAAACTGTCAAACAATACAACCATAATTATTTATGCTCCAGTGCATGTTGGGAAGGGGGTAACAGGACTACAAAACCACAAAAAATTCAACTTACCTGCTTACCAGCTTATCTGTCATTGTTGGTTTGACCTATAAAAAAAAAAAAGTATGTTAGAATAAAAAATTGCATTGAGATGTATTACTTGCATTCCAGGAATTAACAAAAAGCTACAATAAATAATTGACATTTTTTTAGCATAATTTACTTCTATTTATCATTTCAAAATGTATTCTTACAGTGAATTCTATCACTTGGCAGATAGCATCGTTTATAACCTTCCTGCCCCATGAATTACCAGACTTTTACTGCTTCTATCAAATACTTGGACTAAATTTGGAGTCCCACCAGACCACACAGAGCAGAAGCGAAGCATGTTTAGCTGGAAGAAGTAACAGGATCAGACAACTGGGACAAGAATCTCCTGTATCACATGTGATATGTGCACAAATCTGTAGGCTACTGTATATCTGTATGCTAGATAGAAATCATCTTCAAGCAGAAAGAGGACAGTAACTCAGTATGCCAATTAACATGGCACAGTTTATCAAAAAGAGGGAACCTTGCCAAGCAAGTCTCAGATATGCCAGCTATTACTGTCCTATCGATCTGATGCACAGCAGAGCAACCATGGACATCATGAATTTTTCATTTGATTGTGTTGTCAAACTGTAAGACTAAGACCATACAAGCCTCACCCTCTTTTTATGAGCACTTTTTTTTTCAGTGTACATTCTCAACACCTCCCTAAAGACTTGTTTATGGTAATACAGAAGTTTAAGGCTCTCAGTAAAAGACTCCTGCAGCCATAATGATTCCATTGTCTGCACTGGTTTGCAGCGTGTCTGGCCGATAATATCGCATGACCATCATTCAAGTGTAGATGCACTGATGTTGCTTCAGAACGGTAGCTCTTTGAGTGATGGAAAGTCTGTAATCAAATCAGCGGGAAGTCTCTGGCTCCATGGCTCTTGTGTTCATGTTCTCTCCATTGATCTGTGTCAGTATCTGGACAGCTTCTGTAACAGCTGTTGCAGCTGAGGTGCTCTGGGTAGTGTTAGTCCGTGTTATGGTGCTTGGAGAGAAATCAAATTGCCTTGGTTTGCTATAAGTTATTTTAAAGTCAAAGTGTGTCAGTTTTCAATGTTAAAATACTTTTTAATATGCAGTCAAGTGAGTAAAGCATTTGCAGACTGATTTGTCTCTATGTCAGTATACATCGCTCTATTTGTTTAAGCAGCTCAGCTCAACATAGTGACACTGGCTCAACCAATGGTGTGAGTTTGGAGGCTGACCAGTGGCGGATGGGGAAGTGTTCTGGAAACCTGTTTGAAGTCAAACAATGTTGGTACTTGAATATCATAGAGATTTTGCACTTTTGACTTTAGCCTGTATGCAACCACATTGAACTCCACAACACATTAAAAATACCCAATCAAAACAAAGCTAGGTTAATTTTATACATTTATTTACTTATTTGCAATTCTGTATTGTAAATGTATGAAATAACTTACAATGGGTATTTTAATTACTGAATTAGTTTGAGGTACTTAATTAGTTGTAATTTAATTAATTTAAAATATACTGTGTTATTCCCTCTCTAGCTTGCCTCCTAATCGAGTTTTCCATAAACCCGGCATTGTATATTATGAATATTTTTGGTTCTTTGATTAATTGCTTCTAGTTTCATGAGCAATTTGTCCTTAACCATTTCACTTTACTCAACAAAAAATTCTCATAATGACTATTGAAATTACAAATATAGCATCATATTATTTTATGTACACACATTAAACTGGGCAAGAATCCTATATTGGTCTGTTTTAATAAACATGATCTTGTATATTAAAATCATATATATATATATATATATATATATATATACACAGTCGTGGTCAGACTTATTGGCACCCTTGGTAAATATGATCAAAGAAGGCTGTGAAAATAAATCTGCATTGTTAATCATTTTGATCTTTTATTTAAACAAAATCACAAATATCTAACCTTTCATTGAACTAAAACAATTGAAAATGGGGGGAAAATCTCATTATGAAATAAATGTTTTTCTCAAATACGAGGAGAGTTTGAGTGGCTAAAGACTCTCCAAGGACCACAGCTGGAGAATTGCAGAAAATAGTTGAGTCTCAGGGTCAGAAAACCTTAAAAAATAAAAATCAAACAGCACCTACACCACATGTTGTTTGGTAGGGTTTCAAGAAAAAAAATCAAGAAAATAAAATGCTTTCATCCAAAAACAATCCCCAGCATATTCTGTTGTCAGACACGACTGGAACTTCAAATGGGACTGGCTTCTATGGTCAGATGTAACTAAAAAATTAGCAGACTAGACTTGACTAGACTAGACAAGACTTTTTAAGCATACCAGGGTGATTATGAACATGAAATTATCCAGCCATGGCTTCCTGTTTCACAGGAATATAAATAGGAGGGAAAAACAAAGGCCAAATTCCCTTAATCATCCATCACAATGAGAAAAACCAAAGAATATATTTCTGATGTGCAGCAAAAGATAATTGAGCTTCACAAATTAGAAAGTGACTTTAACCAAAGAGCTAGAGCAGTGAAAATTCCCATTTCCACCATCAGGGCAATATTTAAGAATCTCCAATCAACAGAAAATGTTACAAATCTGCCTGGAAGAGGACGTGTGTCTATATCGTCCTAATGCATGGTTAGGAGGAGAGTTTGAGTGGCTAAAGACTCTACAAGGACCACAGCTGGAGAATTGCAGAAAATAGTTGAGTCTCAGGGTCAGAAAACCTTAAGAATCTGAAGGGTCTGGAGAGATTCTGGATGAAGGAATTGTCTCTGATCTCTTGTCAGGTGCTCTCTAACCTCATCAGGCATTATAGGAGAAAACCCAGAGCTATTATTATGCCAAATGGAGGTTTCAAAAAGCATTGAATAAAAGGGTGCCGTTAATTGTGTCCAATGCGTATTAGAGAAAAACATTTGTCATAATGATATTTCCCCCCATTTTAAATTATTACTCTCCAATGAAAGGTTAGATTTATGTGAATTTTTTAAATAAAAGATCAAAATGATTAACAATGCAGATTTATTTTCACAGCCTTCTTTGATCATATTTACCAAGGGTGCCAATAATTCTGACCACGACTGTATATATTTATAAGGCCAATATTTGCTCTCATTTTCTGTCCATGTACAGTCATTAAAGACCAACGGACTGTATTTCCATGATTTGTATCTTCCACTCAATGTAATGATCCATGGTTTAGTCATGTGAACTAGTATATCAGCTTTCTGCAGGCATTTTTTGTGCTCTCAGCCTCACTATTTCCCGCAAGCTTCATTCAATACCTGCTGTCTCTCTGCTTCCCTTTTCATGCAAGTTATTGAGCTTATTAAGGATGCCTGCAGCATTTTTAAGCAGTAATAGGAGACGCATTATGGAATTACCGTTGTCACAAGAGCTTTGTCTATACCATCATTATTTAATTAAATGTGTGCACCATATTGACAAGCCACACCATTAAGCCTTATTTGCTAATTTGTTTGCAAATTAAATTTTTAAATGTTGGGGAGGGCATTCTTAAAATAGAGAAATTAACTATAAAAATAACAATAATAATTAAAATCTTAAATTGGATTTTAAGCTTAATTTCTCTCTCTTTTTTGCTGTGGTCTGTTTTGATATTATAATATTTGATATTAGAATGCTTACAGTGCAAGTACTTCCATGAGACTTGGGATCAATGGAAGGTGTTTCCTTCTCAAATTTCTTGTTAGTCCTTTCTGTACACTCACATCCGGCAGATATCTATTGAAAGTTACTTAAAAACACTTGAAAAGATGATTAATTTTTTGTTTGGATGCTTAAGAAAATCAATACAAGAAGGAAGAGAGATGAATTCCAGTAACTGCTGCTGAGTATGTCTGAGCATGCATTTTGCACAGCCTGTCCTTAGAAGAAGTCAAGACAAGAAACGAAGGGGTCAAGGTTGTGCTGGTTAGCATGACTTATTAGTTAAGCCCTGCTGACAGGTTACTAGAAAGCAGTCATTTAAAACTACTAGATAGTAACTAGACCAAATCATCTTTCTCTCTAACATCAGTTCAAAATTAGCTGTGTATTCTCACTAAATATTTATTTTCTGCAAGCAACATATAAATTGCAATTAATTCATTATATTTTAACCAAGAAATCACACTAACATGCGTAAATGAAAAAAAAAAACACATCAAAATAATTTAAATAATTTAAATTAAAAATAAATTGCATTGTTTCCACAGACATTCCATAACAGTTTGTCGCGTAGTCATTATGTTACTGTGGTAACAATAGCTGTAGTAACTGTGGTATTTTGCCAGAAATTATTTACCATAGTACCATAGTAACGTTCATTGTAAAGGTTTGAACACGTCGGTAGTATAGTGGCAGACACCTTTTCAATTAAATCTTGACAGTCCTGTAGAACCAGACGGTGTCAAGTTTTCATATTCAACACTACTAACATCACAGAACCCGTTTGTAAACCTTATATTTACCCTGTTAAACATCTTTTCCTAGACGGATACAGACTGAGAGAGGAGGGAGAGATACCCGTATTCTGACAAGCCCCGCCCTTTATCTTCGAACCAGTCTCTGATTGGACAATTGAGAAGTCGTTACGAACCACAGCAAACAGTGATTGGGTGGAGGACAGGACGTAACGTGCTGGCGGGGAAAATAATAACACAGGTGGAAGTGTGTATGTCACGCTGGAATTTTGAACATCTCTGTAACTGGATTCGAGTTACTGGATTCATTCAAACATTTTATAAAAGCGAAAGCGGTCAATATCCATATGTCTCCGTAAGTAAATGACAAATCGATCTTACATAGGCTACATGAATCTACAACAGTTTGATCGCGAGCTCTGTTGACATTTGATTATACGGATGGTATGGGAATTACAAGATTGAGAATGTAATTTAGGTTGATTTCGTCCCCAGGGAACAGCAGATTGAAATCCAAAGTATGAAATGAATCTGATCAATACCTGGACGTAATATTGTGTACTTTCTACTCTGAATTGTGATCTTTGCCTTCATTTGTTGGGGTTGCCATAAACTGCTTTGAGATTATTTTATGCTCATTACTTGAAATATCATCTTTTCTTAAAAATGCAGAGAAAACAACCTTGGTAGACTAACTGAATGTTGTACTATGTCATACTTTAGAGTTTTGGTTTGTAATATAATAACACACATCGAAAAGAAAGATCTAAATAAGGTGTGTCTGGTGTTATTTAAAACCCTTTCGCACGTGAGTTTAAAATATTCTAGCTGAGCCCCCAGCGTGAGGTTTTTTAGGCGACCGTTATTTTAGAATGTATCGCCTTATTGTTTCCATGGCGACGCGTCATGCTTGTCATGTGACACAACGCAGCCACAATAGATCTGTATTTAAGACTGCAGAAATATGTTAATTCAGTATACACATTATCCCACCGTTTACAATTGTGACTGACCATAAAATACAAATTTTCACACACTTCCAAAAAAAAAAATTATTGATTATTTCAAAGGGTTACTAATGACACATCATTATATTTTCATGTCTGGGAAAAATTTGAGATTAAATGGGTTAAAATGCGTTTTAAACATAAAGTTAAGTGGTTTTCATTACCCATTTTACTCTTAGTAATTTAATAATTTCATAAATTTCATAATTTAAAAGTTTAGTGCAGAAGTATCGAATCGGTATCGATATCGACGATACTGCCTTGAAAAATATCGGTATCGTATCGAAAACAAAATAAGGGGTATCGCCCATCCCTAATTTAAATTCAGCGGTTGATGACGTGACGCACTGAAAGTTTTAATCACACTGGTGTGATCGTACGCGTTAAAGGGTTAATATCATTGAGATACTATTATAGTTTTTATTTAAAAAGTATTCATTTTAATTTATTTATTTTAGTTTTTTAATTATCAGTTTTATGTTTATATAGTTTTATTCATTTTTATTTCAGGGTTATTTTAATTAAAACATTTAAATTGAACTATTATTTTAATAAAGTTAAACTAAATGAAAATGAGATTTGTTTCCTTGGCAACTAGCTGAATTAAAATTAGTTTTTTAATATTTCAAGTAACAAAAACGTTTTTGTATGGTTTAAGTTTTACTTAACAATAATAACAGAAGTTTGACTTTGATTTGTGTTTAAATGATCAAAGGCCAAATAAATTGTTGCCAGTACGCATTTATTGCCAGGGATTCCTGATCCGTGACAAATTCATATTAAATTGTATTTGATTATAGGGCCTCTAGAATGTTGCTCGACGAGACGTCTCTGTTTGATCCTTCTCTGCTTCAAGAGCTGGACTGGAGCAGCAACACTGTCTCCTTCTCTCCTGCTATTTCTCCCTCTCAGCCTGGAGAAGGTCTGGTCCTCCGTCCTCTCTGTACTGCTGACCTAGACAGAGGTACTGGTTACCGTTCAACAATCTGCCCACTCATGTTCAGTACTTCCAACAATCAGGATAAACTTGTTTGTCTTTATGGATTTTTTTAGGCTTCTATAAGGTCTTATCGGAGCTCACAGTGGCTGGGGATGTCACAGAAGAACAGTTCAAAGGTACTGCACGTTCCTAATGCAAAACATCTCGCATTTCTTCATATATTAAAAAAAAAAAAAACTTTTTTTTTTTAGCACAATTTGAACATATGAAGAAATCTGAAGACTATTATGTCATAGTGGTGGAAGACACAAATATTGGACAAATTGTTGCCACAGCATCACTCATCATAGAGCACAAATTTATCCATGCTTGTGCAAAGGTACTTAACATTTTAATGTATTTGACTTAATATTTAATTATAACTTTAAATATGTATTTTGCAATTGAGCTTATTTTTTGTATTTTCATGGTGCAATATATATATTTTTTTATTTTATTTTTTGTCTCGGAAGAGGGGGCGTGTGGAACAAGTGGTTGTGAGTGATGTATACAGAGGAAAACAGCTGGGAAAACTGTGAGTTTGAGACACTTTTACATTAGTTTTAATCATAAGTTTCAAATATTATATATTCACAGATACTGTATTTTCTTTCAACATATCTATATCAAAACAAAGTACTTTGAACATAATACTTTTGCTTTTGTTTTTAGGTTGGTATCAACATTGACTCTCCTCTGCAAAAAATTGCAGTGCTACAAAATAACGCTGGAGTGTGTGCCAAACATTTTGGAGTTTTATAAGAAGTTTGGCTACTCCACTTCAGATGAGAAGCATGCAGTGCTGGTTCTTTGACTGAATCCAAAGGAATCTTGAACATCACAGAATGTTTGCTTTAGAACTCTTAATCTGTTCTATTTTCTGAGATCGGACTACCTCCAACTTGCACCTTTTTTAGCCAGCAAAATAAGAAAAACTTGATACTTTGGTGACAAGTTTTGTCACAACAAAATATTCTGAAATATGCATTTTTAATTCACTACAACACAGAACAATGTGCATATTCATGAACGTTTCTAAATGTCCGCAGTCATTTTGTTTCCAAATATACCATTTAAAAAACAGTTTGAGTCAAGTCACCTTTATTTATATATCAATCAATCTTTAGTACAGACTCAAGGTCCAAAAAAAAAACAAAAAAACAATACCAATGTCTCCACAGCTTTGACTGATACCGTGTAGTAATAACCCTTATATTTGATAGACCCACAATAATCTAATTTTTTGAAGCATTTAGCCGGCAGATAAATCTATACATAAGATTTCGTAACAGTGCTTTAAAAGTGATTACTCTTGCACTCACAAACATTTCACTTGCACTATGCCATCTAGGCCTCTTTAGTCAAATTCTCATTGCATCATTATAAGCTACTTGCAGCTTCTGTAAACTAGATGTTCTATAGTTGAACCACAGATGAGCAGTATAAAGTGTTGTACAATATGCTTTAAAAAGTGACACCTTCACCTCATCTGAACAGAAACTAAACTTACGTAAAAGTATATTCGCCTGCATATACATCATACGGCGTTGCCTTTCAATATCCTCATCGTCTGTCATGCGTTCAGTGATGAAATGTCCAAGGTATTTTACTTTAGCACACACAGTGAGACTCCTATTAGACAACTTGAAAACTGGAAATGTTATACTTTTATCCTCCTTAGTTCTGCAAATCATAACCACACTCTTATCAGGATTATATAAAATATCATGTTCAAGACCATAATCAGAACACATAGTTAAAAGCTGTTGAAGACCAGCACTGCTAGGACTAAACACCACAAGATCATCCGCATACATAATGATACACTAGAATATTCCCAATCATACACCCAGTTTTACAAGCATTCAAACATTCAGATAGATCATCCATGTAAAGATTAAACAGAATTGGGGACAAAATCCCTCCTTGTCTCACGCCATTACTAACCCCAAAAGGGCAGAGACTTTACTGCCCCATTTTACTTGCATCATCTGGTGGGCATACCAATAAGCCAGGATTCTCACAATGTATTCTGGCACCCCTCTTTGTCTCATTTTAAAAAATAACTTTGCATGGTTAACCCGATCAAAAGCTTTAGATGCATCAATGAAGCACATAAATCTGACTTCTTTCCAAAAATCTGTGATATTATGATTTAGCAGCTTAATAGCTATAGAATCAGTCCTTAAGGTTTGCTCATTTTTACAGATAAAACGAATAGCATACTTATATCTTGCATTTGTAGACTTCTTATACTCAAGCTCAGGCCCTTGCCTGGGTCTACCTGCTATAACCCATCATTTAAAAGCTTCCCGGGCTTCAGCCTGATATTCAGCTACATATTTACTCCAGCCAGGCCTAGTCTTATATTCATTATACCCTTCGATTTAAAAAATGGCTTACTACAACCATGCAGGGCATTAACTATATCATTATACATTGAGCAGATATCCCTCTGATGATTTGCATCTTTACAGTTAACATCACTACACATCATTGCATCCCTAGGTAAATGAATATTACTCAGACATCTATCTGTATTTACATAATAGACTAAAAGGTCCTCCTTTGTAAGTGCTGACCAATCCATTTTTGCTGCATTGATATTATTTTCATTATTAGACATCGCTACAAGAAACTCAACATTTATCACCATAGACACAGGTATGTGATCAGTTGTTACTGTATCATATAAGATACTCATACCCCTCAGCGAGGCATGTGCATCTGCTGTACTAATACAATCGTCCAACCATGATGTTGTGTTCCAAGCCCCACTAACATAGGTAAAGCTATCTACAGGCAAACACACTTCACTTGACAAAATGAGATTATTATCTTGGCAAATCTGGACAATATGACTGGAAAATAATGAATTTCTGTCTGAAATATCCGCATTCATATCCCCAATGACATACACACTAGAAATAGTAGAACTTTCAATAAAAGAACTGATAAAAGCTAGTCTATTTAAATACTCATCTTCATTATGATGCCATTCGTAAGGTGTATACACATTTAGAATAATTAAATTCTTATCTTGATAAGTAATCTGAATTGCAATACACCAATTAACATCCAATCTAATTACCTTAACCAGTGGGTCTAACTTTTTTTCCACAGTATGGCTACACCTCCAGATATCCTACCGTTGATTAAATCCATACCAAGATCTACTGTGGATTCACCAGCACCATGACAATTATCATTAAGAGAATTCAATTTATCATGATGGCATTCGTAAGGTGTATACACATTTAGAATAATTAAATTCTTATCTTGATAAGTAATCTGAATTGCAATACACCAATTAACATCCAATCTAATTACCTTAACCAGTGGGTCTAACTTTTTTTCCACAGTATGGCTACACCTCCAGATATCCTACCGTTGATTAAATCCATACCAAGATCTACTGTGGATTCACCAGCACCATGACAATTATCATTAAGAGAATTCAATTTATCCAAATCTTGCATTGCTAAAAATGTCTCTTGCAAGCATAAAATATCACAGTTCTCCAACAGACTGTCCACAACCATATGGCGGGCTTTATCCCCAACACTCTGGCCCACACGCAGACCACGACAGTTGTATGACACAACTCGAATGTCCATGGGGGGCACCAACACTTGTTTATTCTACCCGAGGGCGCACACTTTCCCCAGCAACTAGTGTAGAATTTGACCCGCTGACTCCCACCCTACGCGGCTCGTAATAGCGTCTAACAAAAGCCCCTTCGGGCCAGAGCTGCGGGTCATACATTTCACTGACTTCATTACATTCAGCAGATACTTTAAATGAACTGTATCTGCTTTGTATAGTTTCAATCTTCTGACAAGCAACATCGCGTCCAAGTTTTTCTTTCAGGTACTCGGACAAAGTCAAGGCATCTAAGTCAGGTGTAAACTTGGAGGCAAAAACACTCACCAGTTTGGTCTTAACCATTCTGATATTGCCCACAGCTCCAGTACCAACAACAGACATGACATTACCTGACTTATTTTTCTGCCTGGGAATGACAGCAGGCGATCTTGTTTTAGAATCAGCATTCACAAAACCTTATCGACGACCTTTTTTCACCACGCGACTCCACTTCGGAGAATGTTAATCCTGTAGCTCCCTCCATTGTCACAGAACTTTCCACTCTCAAAGATAATGACCTCGCCACCGCAACTCCTTCGCCAATGACTGTATCCAAAGTTTCCACTGATGCGGCCCCGAGTGCCGTACCCTCGATCCCTGTAGCTCTGACCGTGCTGCCAACCCCTCCGAGCCGCCGCCTCGCATCATATCCGTCGATTGCTCCAAAGCACAAACTCTTCGATTAATATCCACTGTGATAGCTCGTAGATCTTCACCCACATTAACATGTAGTTGCATTGCGTGTTTCATAGAACAAAGCTCAACACTCAGCTGCTCCATTCTTCCAAGCAAACTTGAAACATCAATGCTATCGAAGGACACTGGCGGCTCATCCAAATAATGTGAAACAAATCTGGGGATGTCTTCGCCACATTCATTCATCACTTTAAGACAGCTTTTTATGTTATTAACGTCTTTCTGTGGCCCTTTATGAGAAACATTCCGTTGTGTTGTAGGACATAATTCAAACAGTACTTTCTTTGAGGCCTCAATCCAATCAGAATCAAACGTCTTTGCAGCCAACAGGACAATTTCATCCTGACTTAGAGTCTTAATTTTAACAGCAAGAACATTAAGGAATTCATCCTCAACAATAACCTTCCCGTCAACAGTATTATATATCTCAGGTTTCAGACGAGATCGTTTAAACACAGACGCAGACGATACAGCCAAGCAGCTGTGCAGCTGCCAAGTGTGGCAGCGTCCGCCATATTCGCCATATCCGCCATATATAGCGCTTTTAACAATACAGATTGTGTCAAAGCAACTGAACAGCATTAATTAGGAAAATAGTGTGTCAATAATGCAACATGACCATAGTAAACACTCATTTTTCAGTTAAAGGCAGTACATCATTGAATTCAGTGATGTCATCATCCAGCTCAGTTCAGTTTAAATAGTCTCTGTGCAATCAAGTCAACGATATCGCTGGAAATGAAGTGTCCCCAACTAAGTAAGCCAGAGGCGACAGCGGCAAGGAACCAAAACTCCATCGGTGACAGAATGGAGAAAAAACCTTGGGAGAAACCAGGCTCAGTCAGGGGGCCAGTTCTCCTCTGACCAGACAAAACCAGCAGTTCAATTTCAGGCTCAAGCTGTTCTGAGGTTTTGGATATGCTAAGGAATTGGGATAAATCAGGAAGATTACTTACAGAGCAGTCTTTTGTGGTAGAAGTGATGGTTCTAACTTCTACCATACTTGTAACAAGGAGTAGAATTTACAGTTTTAGCTATATGAAGTTTGCACAAGACTGGATAATGATCGAAAAAGGCACATTTCCCTCTTTTACTTAAAATGTTAATGCTGTGTTTTGTGCTTTATTCTCAGTTTCTCTTGCAGGTACTCGTCTTCAACAGAAATCAGTAATAGAAAAAAGTTTTACATTTATTTATGCTGCTCATGTATTTTTTCTATTTTGGCTTTAGTCTTAGCCACTGGTGATAATTATTAGTCATGTCATGTGTAAAACTTAGATGAAGGAAAATAATTTTGAAATACATCCTGATGCAATGAAAGCACATCTTTGTATGCTAAATGCCTTTATTGTTCTACTTTCACTGATAGCCGACAAATTAGGAGCATTTAAATGCTTTGTCTCATCTGTCAATCAACAGCCAAACATGTGGCAGTGATGTTATTTGTGCTTTTATAACTGTTATATTTTAAAATTGATGTAACACCACTGAATGACAAGTGGGTGAATGGATTAAAAATGTTACATTAAAAATCAAAAAGTTTATATTGTATTTCAATGAAATGGAAATATCATTCTAAATCTATCCACACCCAACAGTCCTATCATAAACGGTCATATCTTTGCACCAGGGATTGATAACACTGAAAACGCAAAATGTAAGTAGCCATCTTTTATTGAGCAGTGGGATGTTAATCCTATGGCAAACGCATCTTTCCTTATCTCAGTCTGAATTCATTCCCCACATAACGACCGATTTTCATCCTAGCTTTTCATGACTGGTTCATCCTACCATTTCATTTCTACAGCAGTGACAGTCCCATTCTTTGATACCCTCCCCTACCTTCCAACCCAAATCTGTCCAACAAAATAACAGTAATTCAAGTATCAAAAGTGCATTATTGCAATACTGTCCCGCTGCAAATGCAAAATGCTTTAAATACTATAAAACTGCAAAAAATTTCAGTGCATACAGCTCAAAAAGGAAAAAGAAAAGCTTCCCCAGCTCCAAGGGTCACGAGGAGCAGTCTCTCCCTCCCAACCCCTGTACAAATATTTACATTTTTAATCCCAATAAAAATGTAAAAAGAGAAGTCCACTGTGGTTAAGCACATTTTTTTTTAGTAAAGCCTATCCATTTTGTGCTGCTGTAGCTTGCATACTCCCGAAATCTTCATCCTCTTCTAGTGTTCGCTTTAGACTTCCTGTATGGAAAGAAAGATGTTATTAGGAATGGCCATAGCATGTATAATGACCCTAGTTTCATACATTACTAATGTACAAATTACATAGCTCATTTCTATAGTACAATTAACCCAGTAATTTATCCTCATAGATTTAAATTTACATTTATTAATTTAGCAGATGCTTTTATCCAAAGTGACTAAAAAAATTAGTAACAAACATGACCATTAATCAAATGGAGCCAAGAACAAAAGCAGATTCACAACGCAAAAATTAAAAGAGTACAAGCTAGAAAAGAGATACAATTCTGCACTATTTCATGAAGATAAATAAAAAAAAGAAATCACTAAAACTAAAACAGTTGTTGTAAATGCTACAAGTGAATTCAGGCATCACAACACTATAACGTACAGTATGAAAAATTGAAAAATGCTAAATATTTTAAGTGTTATTAAATTAGTGTTTTTAAATATTAATTTTGAGTGTTGTATGTTGGCAAAAGAAATCTAAGCATATTGGTCAAAAAAATAAAATAAATAAATAAATAAATATATATACAGTGGGTACGGAAAGTATTCAGACCCCCTTCAATTTTTCACTCTTTGTTATATTGTAATAAAGTACCAATATACTACGCATCACTATTAGAAATGATTAAACTATTTACAAACTAACCGTTTGGCCATAAAATGTTCTCTTACCTGGCATCCCAGCTTGGATGGAGAAAGACCTGCCCAACTGAATGGGTGACATCATCTTGATGGTAAGCTTTGCAAGATATATTGCTTCATAATCCTTCATGAAAACAGAGAGAACATCCTTTTATGATGTATACATGTATATAAAACAGCACTTAATGCTGAATGAATTATTAATGCTGAGATTTCTTTAAAATCATACCTGTAGCTGATGAACAAAGCCTACATTGGGATTAATGCAAAATCGTCTCTCTTGTACATGACTAAAGGCATCCCTGTAAAGAAATAAAATGACAGGATCTGCAAACTTCAAGACACACCATATTATTTTGTATTCATATTTTTGGACATGCATGAACTGTTTCTCCACTAATAATATTACCTGTATTTCACACCAAATGTCTCCATAAGGTAGGCAATAACTAAGGCAGCGCTGGGAGAAAAAAATAATGTAAAAAAAATTATAATTATTGAATTATATAAAATTAAATCAAGAGATTTTAGATATTTTATAAATGAGTAAAAATATTTTTTTTATAACCATCAAAAAAAGATGATTACGGACTTTAGTTTTAGCATACCTTCTTGATATCCCTGCATTTCCATGAACAAGTACCTTTCCTACAACACAAAAATGTGCAAGGCATTGACATTATAATAAAATAAATGTTGTTGACACTGAAAACCTATTTTCTTTACAAGAAACTGAACCCAGGATTAAAACAGAGAAAATACTCAATTTAGTATTAAAAGTAGAGATCAATATAGAGAAACTTTCATTACCCCCTGTCTCTAAACATCCATCAATAAATTCTTTAGTCTATAAAGAGAAAAACAGGTTATCATAATTAGATAAAAGAATCGCAGACCAAATAATGTATTAATAATATAAAATATATATATATAAAAAAAAAGGTCAGCTTACCATTTGGAAATATCTAATAATATTTTCCACAGGGTTATCTGCTATATCTAAAACAAGGTACCTACATACAAGTAAAAAAGTAAATTAGCTGTTAGAAATAGTGGAGCTTTATACTGAAGTGCCACACAGAACAGACCAAAAAATGCAGATGAGCTGAAGGCCACTGTCAAAGAAACCTGGCTTCCATACCACCTCAGCAGTGCCACAAACTGATCACCTCCATGCCACGCCGAATTGAGGCAGTAATTAAAGCAAAAGGAGCCCCTACCAAGTATCGAGTACGTGTACAGTAAATGAACATACTTTCCAGAAGGCCAACAATTCACTAAAAATGTTTTTTTTTATTGGTCTTATGAAGTATTCTAATTTGTTGAGATAGTGAATTGGTGGGTTTTTGTTAAATGTGAGCCAAAATCATCACAATTTAAAGAACCAAAGACTTAAACTACTTCAGTCTGTGTGCATTGAATTTATTTAATACACGAGTTTCACAATTTGAGTTGAATTACTGAAATAAATGAACTTTTCCATGACATTCTAATTTATTGAGATGCACCTGTATAATAACTAATAAAGTACCAATATACTACGCATCACTATTAGAAATGATTAAACTATTTACAAACTAACCGTTTGGCCATAAAATGTTCTCTTACCTGGCATCCCAGCTTGGATGGAGAAAGACCTGCCCAACTGAATGGGTGACATCATCTTGATGGTAAGCTTTGCAAGATATATTGCTTCATATTCCTTCATGAAAACAGAGAGAACATCCTTTTATGATGTATACATGTATATAAAACAGCACTTAATGCTGAATGAATTATTAATGCTGAGATTTCTTTAAAATCATACCTGTAGCTGATGAACAAAGCCTACATTGGGATTAATGCAAAATCGTCTCTCTTGTACATGACTAAAGGCATCCCTGTAAAGAAATAAAATGACAGGATCTGCAAACTTCAAGACACACCATATTATTTTGTATTCATATTTTTGGACATGCATGAACTGTTTCTCCACTAATAATATTACCTGTATTTCACACCAAATGTCTCCATAAGGTAGGCAATAACTAAGGCAGCGCTGGAAAAAGATATTCAATTTTATAAAATAAAATAAAATCAAGCCATTTGAGATTATTTTACAAATTATTTTAAAAATGTATAAAGAGACAGTTAAAAGACAATCTTTTTATAACCATAAATAAAAGAAGATTATGGATTTTGGATTTGGCATACCTTCTTGATATCCCTGCATTTCCATGAACAAGTACCTTTCCTACAACACAAAAATGTGCAAGGCATTGACATTATAATAAAATAAATGTTGTTGACACTGAAAACCTATTTTCTTTACAAGAAACTGAACCCAGGATTAAAACAGAGAAAATACTCAATTTAGTATTAAAAGTAGAGATCAATATAGAGAAACTTTCATTACCCCCTGTCTCTAAACATCCATCAATAAATTCTTTAGTCTATAAAGAGAAAAATAGATGATCATAATTAGACAAAAGAATAACACCAAATAAAAATGTATTAATAATATAAATTCATAAAAGTAAGGTCAGCTTACCATTGGGAAATACCTAATAATATTTTCCACAGGGTTATCTGCTATATCTAAAACAAGGTACCTATAAACAAGGAAACAATTTAAATTAGCTGTTAGAAATAGCTGAGTGTTAAGTACCACACAGAATAAAGGACAACCAGAAATCAAAATACCTAAATTTATGGGGAAAGTTTGGCTTTATAAAGTTGGCCTCAATGTCTTGTCTGACACAGACGATGTGAGTTATCCCCTGCTTCTCCAGCACTGAGAGCTGAAAGAGAGGATGAATTATTACAGGAAAGCCAAGGCACAGATCATTTTCATCATGTCGCATGAGAACAGTTCATCTCTACAGTACCTTACTCTTCATAGCAGCTGAATAAGGGCCAAGAAACAGGCCTGGGAGGATTTCCTAAATCATGAAATCAGACCGTTTTAGTAAAAGTGATCATTTGATGACAATGAGGTATGAAATGTGCCTAATAACGTAAGATTTTGACTCAACAAATATAAAGTACACAAAAAATTCCTATCGAAGGTGGTGGAAAAAAATGATCACCATTGAAAAACAGTCTTCTGAAAGTATGAACTAACACAATAATGTACAAAAATTTACTGTGCCGCAAATGCTATAGCTATACAATAGCCATAACAACATTTAAAAAAATAATGTGCAAAGTTTGTTCATTATCACTCACCTGCATCTCTCTTCTCATTGGATATGCCCAGTCCTGCAGAAATGAGATTACAAAATCTGATTATCAGTTTTTCTACACGCGTTTTTACAGTAATAATATTACCTCACCACTATAATCATAAACTGCAGCCAACACAAGAATAATACTCCTTATTATCAGCATCTCCCAACATATGATCGAGACCAATAATCTGTTTGACAGACATTTATTTATTTTTTAATTAATCAGTTCTGTAATATTAGTGTTCAAGTTGTTAGACCAAAACAAAGCATGAAGGTAATGGACTTGACGGACTGGAGTCATGTGATAACTTGTGGATTATTGTGATGTTTTTATCAGCTGTTTGGACTCTTATTCCGACGGCACCCATTCACTGCTGAGGATCCATTGGTGAGCAAGTGACGTGATGCTAAATTTCTCCAAATCACTTCTGATTAAGAAAGAAACTCATCTTGGATTCATTTTTGGGTGAACTATTCCTTTAAGTGAAAAGTCTTAGGGGTAAAGGTATATTATCAATTAAACGGATTAAAATATTTTTGTTGTTGTTGACTATACTCAATATTAGTATCGTAAAGAAGGTTAGGGATGAATGATTTGTTAGCTAATAAGTCTAAAAGCTTTAATTAAAGCAACTAAAGTTGGTTGTGAATAGAAATGATCAGATTATTCACATATTAATCCCACTATCATAATAAATACTACCCATACTACTTTTCCTGGCTGTGATTGTTGTCATTTGTATTGAGAAATGCACGACTTTGAATTCTGAATTGTTATTCTAGTACACAGCCACTGGATGCACATGCTAACTGCTCACAGCAACGAGTTAGTTAAGAATTTTATTATATATTAAATATATCAGCACAAACCGCTGTATTTATTCATGCATTTACACACACTAGTCAAACATGTACTTTTTTTTAAACAAACAGATTGAAGAGTGACTGTTGTTAGCACTGCGCTAATATGCTTAGATCATACCAGCTGCTCTTCTGTGGCCGCGGGCAGGGACGGGAACTGGAGTTTATTCCCTTCGTCCATGCTGCGAGCGGTATTCCAGCTTTCAATACGTTCACGTCCCCTTTGATGGATTGAATATAAAGACGAATTAAGTGCAAATAAAGTAGAGTTTGTGGAGGAGCTCCGCACTCACGCACGCCATGCTGCTCCCACCCGGAGCGCTCACGTGACACGAGAGCGCCATACGTCGGAAAGGGGCGGTGTCATGGGATATCAGATTCAGTCAACGAGCACAATGCAGTTTTTAGTATTAGTGTAATTAAATGCTAATCTGTTGACATTAAAAAAAAAAACACTATATTTAGTGGTAAACAGATCAAAGTTGGTAGAAATTGCCAATGCCCATAGGATAGAAAAAAAAACAGCATATACCCCCTTAGTTACCGTTGCTATGTCCGACAAGCCATTAAAAATCACAGTCTATGTGAAAAATACATCGCGGAGCAAAGAGGACACTGACAACGTGCCGACAGACAAGACAGAGCAGGTTACTTCTAAGTCTCAGCTTTCAAATTGTGTAATTTTGTTAAGAACCGTTTAATACCGTTTTGTGGCTCTTTCATGTGTCGTGACAGATCACTGTAGCGCCTTAGTTCAAGCGGCACGTGAACCGATCATCTCTTCCCTTTACTAGTTATAGCACAAAATAAACATGAATGAACACCAGAAGGTATCTTGTTTCAACCGCGGAAAGACGTCAATACACACCATTTTTCAAGTTCAAGTCCACCGAAGTTTGTCTGGTTCATTTGCTAGACAAAAAGGCGGTTTCAGCGTTATGATTGGTCATATCGCCTGTCAATCAAACTCCCGGCGAATAGTCAGTAATATATTTAAATCAATTAAAATAATTTATTTCAATTAAAATGTTTGTCCTTTTGTTATACTATGAAAAGTACATTCATTAATTGATTGATTCATTATTTATTTATTCATTCATTCTTTCATTCATTCATTCAACCTGCTGCAAAATGCCAAGCATTGATATTTCTATCAGAAAATACAAATCTAGATGTTCTATATAATGTTGATACCTTTTTATTGATCATTCAACTATACATTATACATTAAAAATGCAACATTCATTTATTCATTCATTAATTTGGCTGTTTGCATTATTTAACCAATTAAACAGTTACAACTATTGTTATTTCTTATAGGAAAGATCAAGCTTTTTATTGATCATTCTACATTATACATCAAAATACAACTATTGTTTTTATACAGTATTTACAAGGAAGAAGATTACAAAGTGAGGGCCAGCTCATGGGTCTTTGTGCAAAGTTGGGGGGCCATTTCAACCCATCATTGGCAATTATTTATCTTCAGTGGGTGTAGATGAGTCTGTTCCGACACTGTCCGGGCTCTCAGAGCGATACATCAAGTAATTCAGTGCCTCCAGATCTTCATCTCCATCCACACCAGTGCAGACCTCTTCTGGAGAAACCAGCACATACTGTTACCATAAGAGGTGCATCTGTACATTTGATTCAGATGTAATAGAGTAAATCATAACATTTATTCTGTTATATATAAAGGAATAAAAATCATACCATCTTCTTGGTAGGCTTGGTTCACATGACCTGCTGCTCCATTCTGCTTTGCTCTTTTATCTGCCTCATAATCTCTCAATTTACTCAGGGTTTCTTCAAGGTACTGGAAGTTTGGCCTTTCAGTTGGTTCTTTGCTCCAGCAGCTCATCATCAGATTATACCTACAAAAAAAGTAAATATTATATCTTTGTCTTCACATTCAATCAATTTATAACATGTATTGTTGAAATCATCAA